TTCAGTATAACTATCGTAACGCATAAATCGTAACAAACGCCTTCATTTTTTTAACACACACATGGTGTATATACGATGTATCTATTTCTACGTATATACGATCGCATTACGAATGCGTATTGCCCATTTACGACACTAATAAAACAAACTAAATGTGTCCCATGGATTCATGTTTTCTTTATCGCTTTCTGAAATGGAAAAATAGTTTAGATGTATTATTTGTTGCCGATTCAATAGACATTATTGAATTTGAAAATTATAAAAACTTACCGCTCAGTTGTTCTTCAATTGTAGACATGACGATGTTATCATGTTGTTCTTTTGGTCGGGTTCGTTGAATCCATCTTTGGATTTTTCCGGCCAGGATGATGAGATTCATGTTTGCAAAATGTCTCTTCATAACAGAATCTGTTGCAGTCGATTGGTTATACGTACACAGAATTACCTATTCGGAGGCTGTAGATTTTTGTATCAACCAACGCAAGTTTGCCGTTTACACCTCGCCAGTTGATCGAGACCAACAGCGAGCCGGCGAATAGTGTACGCAATATCGACCGAAGGCAATCTCCGGCCGAATGCCCACCTGGTTAGGTACTGTAGACGAATTATGCTGGGTTAACTAGTGTAGTTGAACTCACCATATTTGAATAAATTTCCTTGTCTTCCGACTTGGCCAGAAAGTCTTAGTAAGCATCCACTGTTTTGATGGGAATGTCCACAGATAACGAATCGCTGATTCTGGCTGTGGCCATATGTCGAGACAAAAGTGATATCACTTGTCTCATTTTTACCATTTCATTAGCTATTTTATCTTGCGAGGCTACAAAAAAATGAGAACATATTTCATTGAATACCTGAAAGTGACTTTAAGATTTCACACATCACTGTCTGCTATTGGTTCAACAAATAAAGCATAGATATCATTTGCGTGTTGTCCTTCGTCGCAGTCAACGGTACAGCAACAGTTCTCCTGTGAACGTCACCGCAAGAGGAAAGATGACTTTGAATTAAACGATCTTACATTTCCTTGTTTGGACAATGTAAACATAATCCGCATAATAGTTACGAAACAACAGAAAAAGGAAGAGTAAAAATGTTTATTATAATGGAAGTAATCATAAATCTTCCAGCTGGATGACTTATGGGTACAAACCCGTGACGTGTCTCACGGGATTTTTGCAACATACTGCTGTCACGAGTACCTCCGTTCCACGACAGACTTCTTTCAGGCATTGCAGGCGCCATTCGTGCATTGACATCAAATCAGAAGGGTCACCCGTAAGTAATGAACTGCACTGCTCACGCATCCTATGTCTCACTCTCTGTTTGATCACACTCCACGCGCCTTCAATTGGTGCGTTATCGCACACAACCACAGTGTTTCTCCTTTGCCTATTCAGAACACCACGTAACAAAACCTGACAGGTTTCCTTGGTAAAGGACTCACATGTCAGTGTATAATTAATCATGCCATGCTCTAACATGGCCCCAAGAATGTGGAGATTTCGAGCCCTACTGCTTGCATGAACGCAGCGAACTTGCTCTCCTCGTAGGGATCGGAAACGTGTTCTAGCGCAAAAGAGGTTGAAATTTGCCATGATGTATGCTTAGCCTTTGCACTATGACTTACTTTCATTTATCATTCAATGTTTTTTCCTTCATTAATACATAACTGTATTTGCCGACAAAACGATCTCCTTCTCAATTTGTTTTCATCGGAATTTATAGTCTCCGAGAAAGGATATATTTTCCTCATTGTAACGAGTCGCCTACCCAAATAATTGCTGACTGTGCTGCAGCAGAACTCTTTTCCGTATTCCACCTTTAGCCTCAGCCGCAATGTCTCCAAAGGGACTATACAGTCCTCACTGACCCATTCAACCTACTGATTTATTTCTTCTTAGCATAAAATCTTCCTCTTTTAAACGCCATGTCGTTCGTTTATACGATTATGTTGTTTATCGAACATCCAACATTAAGCTGTTCGTATACTCACACTCAGAGCCTCGGCGGTGGTTTGCCAATAGCAATCATTTTCACAGAATATCAAAAATTGAAGAATCACTGCTGCTCGGGGAGCGGTAAACAGTACAAAAATAGTGGTTGAAAGAAGGAAAGCTGAAATTCACAGTTAGAGAAGTTCAAGTGTGAAAGTCGGGAAGAAGCGACAGAATGATGGATATAGGCGCAGACACTAGCCTTAGAAAGAAAAGAAGAATAAAGGAAGTAATTAAGGACCTGAGGATGAGTAGTTTCTCACGAGGGGGAAATTTGTGTCTCCGTTAAAATAAAGCCAAGGTGGAAGAAGAGTGTAGAAAGTGGTGTACGGAATTAACGTTTCGATTTAAACTACGAATGCTAGTGAGGGATATGGATTGTTGTGAATTCGTAGGCAGGGTGCGCATTCTGTGATTTCTGTGAGTTGTATTGTCCATTTGTGGTGTGAGAGAAGACCGACAACACAACCCTGAGACTTGGAGTGGTAAACCTATAAGGCCACAATAGGTTGAGCGTGGTAGTGAGCCGGGTGACAGCAGGGCTGTCTTCCATCCCTGCTCGACGAGATGATTCCATGGTTTATGTTATTTCAGGCACTCTCAATCACTTGCATGTATACACTGACAGTCAGGGTTAAACAATCTGATAAGGCCTAGAACGAATGAACCCAGGTGTTGACATGTCCATGTCGGCTTGTGAAACGTATCGTATCAATGTACCATCTACTCTCCTTGTTAAGTGTACATCAAGAAACTGAAATTTAATTCCCATATCGAAATCTTTATGATAAATCTTCAACTTCTGAGAGAAGCTGTTTATTTGCTCAGAATTTTTAACTGCAACGGATATATCGGCAAACCGAGTTTTCTCTATAGATTTGCTAAACTGCACACATGCCAGCAAAAGTGAATCCATGACAGCGTTTTCTAATTTGGTCATGAATATGCCAGAACATAATGGATCTAACTGCATTCTTGTGGTCACAAAATCTTTTGCCGATTGTGGAATTTAAATTGGAACTGATATGCTTTAGTACAAGGAGGTGTTTCTTTTTTTATGATTGAATGATTGTTTACAAGCTGCAAATGAGATTAGCATTGCCTATTCATGCCGAGAATTCAAGTATAAGGATGACCAGACAAAGGATTCATATCACTCCCGTATCTTTTATGGCCCCAGCTACACTACAGTCAACAGAACACCAATGCATTATGACGATTTGTTGTGCGCCATGGCAAATNGCTGCAACCTCCAATAATTTGTGTTTGCTTAACCAGCCTGTACACTCGATTGAATAAGATCATTTCTCACCGATATTTCATGCAAACTTCAGATTAGAGGACAATGATTACAATACCGCGGGGTATACATACTCTCCCGGTTTCGAAAACGTCTTGCTGAGTTCTTATATATCAGGAAACATTCTTAAATAGGGCAATAATAGATGCACCAGAATGTGACAGGTGGAGTCATTGTTAAGTACCCTCTTTTCGTCAAACAAAAAAACCCCAAAGGTGTACATTTGAGCTTCATTGAACCGGACAGTTTGCATCAAAACTTATTCCTCATGTCCTAAATCTTCTTTTTCAGTTGCAATGTCTTTTGTTGAGCACTTGGTGTCCGAGTTTGAAGCTTTATCGTTACAATGTTACGTCATTCTAACTTGACACAATTGAAATATCGCCAAACGAGATTAAACGAAAGAGGAGAGATATACACTGACAGAGAATAGTATCTATGTATTCGGTGGCTACTGTGGCTCCATTGAAACTGTCACGGGGATGACCTGATTTGGAAAAATGAACGGCAATGCTATCAGTTGACCCTAGAACCTGCCTGATGTTTATGCGAACTGATTTTATTCATATCGACCACGGTTACCATTGGAGTAGAACCTCACTAATTTAGAGCAGTTTACGTCCCATTTACTGAGATGAATGCATGTAATTGTACAGCCATCCGCGCACGATTGTTGGATGGAGTAAAATAATTTAGTGAAATGGTAGTATAATGGTCATGAATCCAGTTCGTAAAGTCATACAATAAATTGAATAATGGAAAACCTTTGGGTTTAGCGTGACAATGGTTACTACCAGCAAATGCATCGTGGAGTATAAGCTTACAATCAACCCATTTGTCAGCGAGCGAACCAATTTGATGGGAACCAGTCTGATAAAATATAATTTTTATTCATGAACCAATGATAATGTATGAAATCGGTTGGTTGTTTATCAGTGAATTCCGAAATTCGCAAGAGATTTGAACGTCAAACAACCTGATGGAGAGATTTTTCAAATTTTATATTGAAATTGTGAAAAGTTCAGTGGGATTCGAACCCACGCATGGACGCCATCTAAGCTTTTGTATAGCGCATGCCCTACCATCTGAGCTACGGGGCTACATCGATAGTACTGCTTTTTTTCAAACAGCACTGCTACTCAGATAATAAGGAATTGTATAATCTGACATGACAATCTATTTCGAGATTGTGTGGAGTAATCCGATTTTCCTGTGTCAGTCAAATGCGGTGTCAGTTCTTTCTGAGCTGTCCACCGGCACATTCCCGGAAGAGCGATCAGAGAAACAGCCTGGGTCTCCGACTTCACGCATCAACCGGTTATCTCATATCCATGGCCCTCGGTTGGATTGCATGATTGCATCCCACGCATGCAACAGTTTGGCGTGTGTGACCGCAGACCGCCCACACACGCCAAGCTGCGCGCGCCTGTTCCCGTCCCCACTTACTATAGTCCAAGGTCAACGTGGTAATGACCATCAGCCTCGAGGTTTTCTCGTCGATGATTGGTCAGTTTTCTGACTTCCGATTGGTTCTCGATTGTCGGCCGGTTTGTCACTGTCGCAGCTTATTGATTCGCTTGTGTATTGGCTGTCCGTCTACCCCACTGAGTTTGGAGGCTGTCGGGGCTTTCGGACATAGTCCGTTATTTCGATCGTTCGGCTATTATATTTTTCCAAGCTCTGAGTGTCGTATTTTGACAAGAATGAGTGCGCCTCCACGTGATTGGAAAGCTGAAGCAGCAGAGAAACGGAGACAGCGTGAACGTGAAACTGATGTGGAGCGTCGGTGGCAAGAAGTGATGGATAAAGATGGTGAAGGTGCTCCCGAGTGGTTGAAAGAGGCAGCGCTGAAAAAGAAAGCTCAACAGGATAAAGAAGTTGGTGTTGCACCATGGCTTAAGGAAGTGCGGAGAACAAACAAGGATTTAGCACGTAAAATATCGGATGTATATCAAGCTGAACGAGAGGCCAACGAGGCCCCTGCCCCTGCTCCACCACCGGTTACGCCAAAAGTGATTGAAAATGGAGCGAACTAGTCAATTTTTACGAAGCTTACTTCACGGAAGACTGTTATCCTGAGGCCTCAGTCGATCAAGTCTTGTATCAGTGATCAAAATGGTGAGCTTTATTCCACATACGTTTTATTTCATGTCAATCAGAGCTCATGGGCGACTTGCGAAACTCTGTCTTCCTTTCTGTAATATCTGTTCACATCTGTGATTACCTCATTTACTTCGGTGATGCAATTTTTGTACACAGCGCATCCATTCGCGATACTTGGCTTTTGACTTCAGTTGTATGTTACAACCACTTGGGTTCATTATTGTACCCAACTATTGCTTGGCATTTTTATCATACAGTTCAGAGCTAATCGGTGTGACCGAAAAAAATAAATTTCTTTCCGGTCCGTGTGGCATCTCCCCCGGTAGTGGCTTTCATTTTTTCCGAATTGTTCCGTCATGGTTCGGCGACCGTGATTTTTAATGACATGTGGTTCATCATTGTGCTTGTGGCTCGTTCAGTTTATTTAATTGTGGTCAAGTAAGGAATATGTTGGCGTATGGTTTTCTAAGTAAAGGTACTGCACCCCAGTTACATTTAATTTTGTTCCATTAGTGTCGTTGAATACCTATGATAATCAGTCAGACTGTTGGAACATGTTTTGACAGCATTAGTGCAATTAGGACGTCTGTTGGCTGGAGAAGGGTGTCTTCATTACATGAGCGGTTTGCCAGAGCGCTTCGCTTCACACAACGCTTTCGTGGTTTTTTAACTGCGTTCAGTGGTCACGTTTATGTCCTGAGGGAGAGATACATACATACTAATATTGAGTGGAAAGCAAAATTGATACCACATTACTATGTTTTCTATCGTGCCAAAACTATATCCTCCAAGTGTCAACTGTATCTAAATGGCTTGCACCCACATCGTCATGTACAAACAGAAACAGCGAATCAAGTGCGATCTAAGTTTGTTTGTCTTCTAATCAGGCCAACTTGAGTGTGTTTCTACCAAGGTATGACACGGATGTTTTTTCCATTCGTCCAGTATAAGCTGCTACACAGCCGTTCATTTGGTCCGAGCATCTCGCAATTGCTTTTGGGATTTCGCTTGTGTTCGACTTCCCCAGTCAGTAGTATGGAACTGTGCGTTCAAAGTTGTTTATAATACTTTCTACCTTGGATATTATTCCGGGTATGCTTCTTAGCTTAGAGATGCTTGTTTTATGAATAGACATCAAAACTCTGAGTCCGAAATTGATGCTAATCAATGATGGAGTTCGACTTTCAGGCTCCTAGTACTGAAGCTTGCGGACAGAAAAAGTAATACCACTTTGTATCCAGAAGAGAAGAAAGGACTTCGGTAAATGTTCGACAAATTTTCACCACTTGATAGGCGGGAATAAAAACGACTTGAAAACGTCACTAATGTATGGAAAATCAGAGGTGCTTACAGAGAGTTGCTTCCATGCCATTCATTTTCAAACCTAGTTAGATATGTCAATTCATAAAAGAAACCAGGCTTCTTTCTATCAGTCGGTATCAGAAATCTGGTAGAAGTTTCCACGAGATATCACCAAAAAATTGGTGAGCGTCTGTGAGCATTCCGAGGTTTTTGTCGCCTAAGGTGTCTGGGATTATAGTTGTCTCTTTGTATATCTGGCTTCAAACGCTGATCAGGTCCACAGCTTTGTATGTCTGTATTTTAAGCGTCGGTCAGTTATAAACTCTATAGTCTTGCAAGAATTAGGGATTCCAAACCCACCGTAGACTTGAGGTTTTGTTTCTAACGAGCATTTAACGTTTATACTGGAAACAACCAAGTTCTGTCTGTTTATAGGCCATCGTACATTTTGATTACTCAGAAGGCACTCACGGTGAAAATGGTCATAACTTGCTCTTTTTCTGATATATAATAAGTGAGGCCTGGAATCAACATGAAGTTTTCGCAGTACCAAGAAAGGATTTTAGTCTGTCAGAAGGCGTCAGTCTTTCCATCATCTGCTTTGAGGACTAATGTCCGCAGTAAAGTATTTGTTTTGGCAGGCGCTTCGTTTGGTAGCGTGCGCCTCTTTTTTATCGATTCCAATAACTACTCAGAAGATCTTGGATGCAGACTTCAGATGCTTCATGGAGTTACGCTTAAAAGTCTGTATCGCGTAACTGCGGGGAACCCTACCGACGAATAGTCCGATTTGGACCTGGGTCTTGTAGCCTCTGAATCAGTGTCTTTGTTGATCCTGGTAAGGTACTCATGAGCCGGATGAGTAGTAGTAGTTTTTGGCAAGGTGGAGGGGAATATGTACTGCTGATTCCACAGCGCAATCGGGCAACTACAGCCAGTTTATGTCAGTCCCGTTTCTGAAATGGAGGTTACCAGAAAAAAGCTCGCCTCAAAAGGCCTCCAGCCCGAATGGGCTACCCCAATCAGCTTTTAAGGTTGGAGGTAAAGCCCTAGTTCTGGATTTGATGAAACTCTTGGATAACAGGAGGGAGAGGGAACAGGTTCTTGCTGAGACGTGCGATTTGGTCATCTTAACGATTTAAAAGAAAGATTACTGATCCTCTTGTGAAAACCACGGAGGAATTACTTTGGTCAACATTGTCTCCAAACTTCTCGCGGGCGTAGTACCCTGTCTGCTATCTACCGCAGGTGAACGGTGCCCACGTGTAAACCGGGCTGGTTTTGACCCAATCAGGGCTGTATCAACCACGTTTCCCATCGTCACCAAGTTCTAAAAAACATACAGGCTTTTTGTAAAACTCTCCCTTGAATTAAAAGTGTTTTTCGAGTAATTCGCCAGTCTTTGATGTGGCGCTACCTTTCCCGAACGATTTGTCCGAGGGGTTTGTCAAAATTACGACCCCTTATACCAATAACCCAAGGCGAGTGCCAGATTACGGCAATTTCTCCCCCGAGTTCACCACAGAAAGCGGTTTTCGTTAGGGTAGCTCTTACCCTCCTATTCTTTTTGACCTTGTGCTTTGCCACTCTAAGTCCCAGGGCCTAGGCTACCGGTTTCGAAAACTGAAAAACAGTCTTTGTGAAGTTCGCTCCGTCTGCTGATTATCACACAAGTGAGTTTCGACCCTTGTGCGAGGAGCGTCATTAGTTTGCTTCCAGGTGACAAACTGTCTGATCTGGAGTTTATCAACCAAATCGTACCAGAAAGTAATAGGGAAAGTGAACAAATTTTGCCATCTGAACAGCCACATTTTACCCGGTGAAGGCAAAACGTATAAAAGTTCGGTGCGCATAAGGAAGGTTTGATTGGCATTTACTAAAGTGGGACATCTGTGGCGCCGTTGCGATATCCAGCTATCTGTTACGAATCGAGTATGATCTCCACAACTTCTCTGTTATCACACTGACACTGATTTGTACATTGCAGTGTTCCTTTTTCTCCCTCGTCCAAATGGGCAACCAAGAGACAGCAACCATAATCGTCGCACGAACGTGCATATTCAGTTTTTTGAAAACTGAACTCAGTCGTTACCGCTATCTGTACTTTGCTTCTTCGACTGAACCCAATTTGTAGAAAAAGATGTTAACACGTTATCATTCCAACGACCGATGGGCTGCATGCAATCCTTCTCGCGGAGAAAAAACTGTAGTAGAAGGTCGTTTGGTCAAGTGGATGATCAATTAAGCGTCCCGTTTTCAAACTCGTTCTGTTCATTGTGCAATAACCATACTTCTAGGAAAATCTTGTCATCGTTGCCAGCTCACCTGCAACCAGGCGGAATAAACATGCTTCTATAGATTTTTTCGGGAAGGGAGGGGGACGATGAACTGTGAAAAGATCATATCTATGTGTGGCCTCGTCGCTGGGCTAGCACTTAGCACAAAGCGTGGACGGTGGCACCCATGTGTTTATTGAAATCTCACTCAGACCAATAAACTTTTCACAATTAAATCAAACGAAACATCTTGTCTACCCCGGTGGAACAATGAAACATTTGGGTCGTGGTAAGAAAATGATCGATGTGTACAACCGCGTGGTTCGTCTCAGCAAAGTGCAACAGAAAGTATACTCACTTCGCGATCGTTTTGCCAGTTGCAGAGTTCGCGATATCCGGTTAGGACAGGACAAAAGGAACGAAACTTCTGATAGATTTAACAGTGGTGCCGCTGGTTTTTCAAGTAAACTCCAGAGGGAATAGATTGTATCTTCTGAAATGATCGATACAATAAGAAATTGTTAAATCACCAGGAGAATAGCGTTCACTGGTTGGTGTCATTATCACTGGTATCGTCATGAAACGGTTGGTATCGACCGATATACCAATATCCGATGTGTCGGGCTAAATGCGCACAAGTCATGCACATTTTGTGCAGATTGTCACGAATAGCATGTGAATCACATCACGCTCGATCACCGACCTCTTGCATTGGACACAGGTCATGGGTTGTCATCGATCAGCCGACCAAACAAGTCAGAAGGTCAGCTGTGAACTGGAGCGATCTTGCACGAGGTCAACCCCCGTTCGTTGACCTGTGAGTCAGCACAACGTGATGCAACTAATTGTGACCATTGTTTGTCGCTAATATTATCGTGTTTCTCTCTATACTGGTAACTAGTAGGATTGATCACGTGAATGAAGGTTTCGATCAGGGCGTTTCTTTTGTCATGTGTTGCGTATTACAAAGAACCTTATCAAGTCATGAGCGCTTACAGGCTTAGTCGTGGAGCTTGGTGTATCTCAAAACACGAACGTTTATTTTTAACCTTAACCGTTCACGGCACTTCGGCTTAGGGCAACACGCAACATTTTTGCATACACGAACAAACTTGACGAGTACATGAAATAAATGAGGTCAATGCATTTTCAAAGTGATGATGAACTTTTACTTTCAGAGAAATCTGAAGGTGACGAAGACAAATCTGTTTCTTTTTGGTACTTTTCATCAGGTCAATGGAGTATACAATCAGAAATTTAGACACTTTCTCAAAAAGAAATTATCTCGTGGAACCTGTGCTTTCGCTAATGAATTCAAATGGTACGGAATAAGACAATTATATGTACGATGGAAC